ATGGAGTTTAACAGTTTAAGTTGGATGTAATAGCAGTAGGAAAAATGGAAGACGAATATTATTTTTCATTTTTTGATTTGTATGAGAAATTGTATTGTAAGACGAAAAATACAATCGATAAAAAGAGAAAATTTGAATATAAATTTACAAGTTGGAAAATTGTACTTTTACATTTCTTGGAAGAAAGATCATGATTGCAGGGTGATCGTGTTAAAGTAGATCGATACGAAGTTTGGAAATCATTATGATTTTGATACAGATTTTATCCTGTACAGTTATCAGGAAAAGATAAAAGATTCAAGGATTTGCCACATGGATATACACGTCATATACTTTCAACGATATAAAACGAGGATACTTGTGAAAGTAGAGAGAAGGGACGAGAAATGAACTGTGGATGTAGTTCTGAAGTTTGTTCCATGCTATTGCAATTGATGGGGATGAGAGCGTGTCAGGTGACTAGTCTGTCAAAATGACGGCTTTTGTAATGGAAAATCGGTTACTGTTGTCATTACTGCTGTCAGTTACTCTGTACTCTGGCTCTCATCCCCGTCACTACCAACAGCAAGGATGGAAAATAAACTTCACAACTACGCCCGCGTATCAATTCAAATTTCATCCCTGTAATTGTACTTGTTTTATAGCATACTTTTTCTAGAATTACTTAATATTTTAAGTAACTTAAATACTTTTCTTTTGTAATAATTCTATATATATATAATTATGAAAAAAATAAAAATCAGTCAAAGATTTTCAATTCGTGGTAAATGTGATGTTGATGGATTTACGTAGAGTATGATTTTTATGGATATTTGCAAAGATCGTGTGCATTTTACAGGTGGCACGAAAAATGAAAATGGAGCAGGCGTGAATTTAAATTTAACAAACGAATATCAATTAGTATGTTTGTACATCTGCGGTATTCACGGGTCTACGATTTTATTTCACCCCTGCAGCAATGCTTTCTGCGCCATAATCGACGAGAGACGACTCGTTAAACTATTAAACAATTTGTTAATCGTATGAGAAAGAATTATTACTGGATAGATTAAAACAAAGGCAGGGTTTATAATTAATAAAATTATAATGTTAAATCGAGGGTGTGATATTCCATTGAAGATTTTTATATTACATGGAAAACTTAAATTGGACTTGAATTTGAAAAAAAAAAAGTGATGATAATTTTCAAAGATGTATTTAAACAAATATTTGTTTGTTTAATAAATTTGTAAAAGAGGGATTATGAGTTTTTAATTTACTAGAATATTTATCACAGAAGTTAGAAATAATGGATTTTTGATTTATGATGAATCATGGTATCTACTTCATCTACCTCTTCTGAATTTGAATAACGCATTACTAGGTTAATATTATATCACGGAGTTAAGAAGCTACTTTTAGCTTACTTGTGAAATGGCTTTTAAAGAATTCTACTTTTATAAAAGCTTTAGTTTATAAAGTTTACGAAATGAATTTTAAAGAAATCCTAGATACAGTTTATAAAACTCGTGGCCTTCCGCGGGAAGAAGGATTCTATTTTAAATTTCAAAAATATCGCGTTGTGTTTTTGCAATTAAACACACCAACGACTCGCGTATTAATATTAATATCGGTAACTATATAATTCAAAAGCAACAATATCACGACTACATTTTTCAAAAGAATTTTTAAGATAACACGTTTGTTTCTATACCAAAAAAAAATTATAACCTTTATTTATTTATTATTATTTTTTTTTTAGAACATTACGTCAACTGATTCCTAACTTTTAAATAAACTTTCTCATCATCGACTTTTATAAGTTTCCAGACATAAATATAATATCTATGTATACTTTAAAAATACACGAAAGTATAAAAAATATATATATATATAACATCATACACGTAGAATAAACATTCGATGAATATTTGAAAAAAATCTTTACATTTATACTAACAATTGTTATCTATAATTCTTTGAATTATTCTTTAAATTCTTTCTCCCATTCTAATTAAAACAAATACATGTTCGTTACTTTTTATCGCACCTAAGTACACACCAAATATCCTCGTCCAACCCTCGTCGTCGAGAAGAGCAACGGGCGAGAGAAGAGAAAAGAAAAGAAAAAGAAAAGGAAAAAGAAAAGGAAAAAGGCGCAGATGTATGTATGTTGAACGCATTGGAGAAAGGGACACGTAAGAAAACAGCGGAGGGAAAACGGCGTGTGAAATAACGCCGGTCGGCTGCACGAAGGGTTGTGGAAAGAGCAGGGGTACCCGTTGCACCCGATCGAGGGGTGGGGATAATAAGAAGCAGGTGGTGGCGCGTGCTCGTTTATACAGACGGTGCTCGTACGTGGGAGCTGTGGTGGGGCAAGAAGAAGGGTGCCAACGGAGACAGAAAGGAAAGGGGACAGGAAAGAGGGAGAAAGAGAGAGAGGTGGAAGAGGGAGACATGGTGGTCGGACGGGCAGGGAAGAAGAAAACGGCGGCTGAATTGTCCCATGATGTATTTTTTTTTTTTATTTTCGACGACGTCGAGAGTCGAGCCACGAGCCAATCCAACGTTCCACGTTTTCTTGCAACCACCATTTCTGATTTTCTCATCCGATCTGATAGTTTTGTTCCTTGTTTCCGGAATTGTTCTATTTTTTTTCTCTAGAGTTTCTTTTTGGGAATGAACGTCGTTTGTTAAAATTGTTCGGATGGATTTTGAAACTTTTACTTGTTTACAAGGTCGCGGACATAATATCGTTGACATAAAAATTGCTTAAGCCGTAAAAAAAAAACGAATTTTTCACGTACAGTTAACGTACAGGTGTCTAACATTAGCTGTTGAACATTTATGGGTAGAATGAAATGTGTGCACGCGTCGATAAATGTATGCCCAAGAATGTCGTTGAATAATGAAAAGCAGAAGCGTAAAAATGACGTGCGGCGCGTAGAATGATGCGAGGGAATTTAACGCGACACCTGCTTTCTACCCGCATGAGCATGGGCCCAACGCGTTGTTCCCATCGTCGAAAGAAAAAAACCTCACGACGCAACGTATCTTAAGAACATCGCCGCTCGAAGCAAGAAAATTAAACGAAGAACACCTCCAACACCTCCATCTACATCTACTCTAACGAGACTTCACGTCACGACTTTATCTCAATCTCGATCCAATTCTACATCGCGTCGATATATCCGTATAATCGTTCGAACAACGTGGAACGTAGAATCCCAATCCAATTCATTATCATATTAAAACGAGGAGACAAAAGGTTGGATCCGGAAGAGAGGAAGGTTTAAAAATTTCGACCTTCGGGCCTCGCCCAGGGGAATTCACCGTTTCTGGTATTCAAGAAAACGAGGAAGAATAGAAGATTACCACGCGTCAGTGGTGCCTCGTGCTGTCGAAGAAAAGCTACACTGTATAATAACAGTAATAAGAAAGAAAGAGAGAGAGAGGGGTGGCGCAAGAAGAAAAATGCAGCACCTGCCGTTGCAGCACCCGCATGCAGAAAGGTGCGCCCTCCTTCTAACGAGAGAGAGAGAGAGAGAGGATGATCCAGACGAAGGAAAGGAAAAAAGAGGAGGAGGGGAAGGAGTGGATAGGCGAATCCCTTTTCGATCCTCGAAACGGGTCCTCGACCGTCCAAAAAGGAACGAGGAGGAGCAGGTGTTGCGGCCGCCTGGCAGCTGCCTCCCACCTGGGACTCCACGATTCGACTCCTCGCCCCGTTTCCTCCTCGAGCATGCTCCCCCTCCTTCCCCCCCCCGTTTCTTGTTGTTGTTATTGTTGTTGTTGCTGGTAGTTCTGTTAACCTGCCAACGTGGCCGGTTCACGTGGGGATGTACACGCTGTACACACTCGAGAGACGTGGCGTTTAAGCCACGTTTGCGCAAACCTTGTAATTCGGCCGCCACCTGGCTGATGTCTGGTGGCCCAGCCATCGTCCCCCAGCCAACTCTGATCACGCACGCGAAATTTCTTTCGGCCGTACGAGTCGGGAGCGCAGCACGCGCGCCCGAATTTGCTCGATGGACAGCTCGAGGCACGTGTTTAGAGGGAATCGGGGAAGGGGATGCGCGAAAAGGAAAGGGGGTCGTTTCGGGGGTGAGACAAGGCGTGATTGGAAGGAAGGTGATCATTTTTGTATCGAGGGTTGTTGTGCAAGTTGTTGTTAGATCGATGTTTATGAATGTTGCTTGCTTCGAAATAGGATTTTTTAAAGTTTTTATAGATCGAAGATATGGATTTTAGTGAATGGGGAAGGGGAACGTATATATAAATAAATATATAAATAAATCGACGCCATTTTCACGCACGAACGTTGCAACGTTGTTAAGAAATGTTACGCGTGATGAAACGCGTGAAATTCGAATTTGATTCGCGTCCCGTGGCTTCGAAAAATCAACGAACGAGACCTTCCTTCTTTTTTCTTTTCTTTTCGACGACGAAAATTTTCGAAGAAGTTGCAACGCGAAGCTGAAATTTTAATTTGATTTTCAGAATGCATTCTAATGGGCGTATTCGTCTTCTTTCTTTTCATCGAAACGACTGATATAATGAGTTATAGGTCACTCAATAGTGATCAAGCTAATTTCTGTCAGCTAAAAAAATTGGCGAGTCGCGTCGATGATCAAATTATTTCGAATTATACGATATTTAATTTAAAAATTTTTTTTCAGATATAATCTCGAGCATTTAAATCTGATTTTTATGAAAACGAGTGCTTATTCTCTTAATTATCCTAAGAGAATTTGTTTATGGAAATGGAATAATATATGGAAATTTATATGGAGATGGTTACACGAAGATACGGAAATGTATATCCTTTTATGTTGATTCCGACATAATATTTAAAAAACTAATTATTATGCAAAACAAAAAATTAAATAAATTATACATTACACACAACTTCTAATATTTCATTTACTCATTATAAACTACATAGATATCTTATTTTTTATTTTCCAAACTAATTAGAGTACTTGACAGTCATTATTATTTTCTTACTATTAAAATTGCAGACTTGCTGTAAAAATGAGGAAGAAGAAGAAGAGGAAGAAGAAAAAGAAGAATCCTCTACGTAGTAACAACCTTCAAACAATTCAAGGTCCTCCAAGGAAACAACGACTCTACTTGATTGTCAAAGTTATACAGTTTTTCTGCACGCGTTTTGCAAATAAAGTAACAAAAACACGTAGACACCGTACTTCTTCCAAATTACTTCTTTTCCCTAGTCAATTCCCTTCTAGTGAAATATTCTTTAAAAGTATCCATACGTACGCGGTCAACCCATTTCTCTCCCCTTGCAATGCCATGAAAACAGAAGAAACATATACTTCATTTAAATAACAAACGGAAGAAAAGAAAAGAAAAGAAGAGCAAAGAAAAGGGGAAAAAAGACAGGGAACAAAAGATGAAAAGAAAAGTGAAGCACGAGAAGTCGTACTTCGAAACAATAAAATTTCTTTTAGCGCCAAAAGATCCAAAGGTCCAAGACGGATTCTATGTGATAAAATGTAAAACTATTCGAGACGTCCCATATATCCATATATGGCGCATTTAAATATTTGCCACTGCTATTTCACCCCCTCCGCGTCATCCCCCTCCCCCCGCCTTCCTTCCTCGTCCACTGCGAGAGAGACGAGCTTTCTCCATGGTAAACGAGATCCTGTCGTTCGCAAAAACCTTGTTGCACGACATCGCGGAACAATGAATGAGGAAAAACCGTTTTCAACCGTTACGATGCATTTTCATCTTGCCGCGATACATTTTTCATCGGCGTTATCGCCTCGAAAATCCTGCGCGCCCCCTTGTTGTTGACGCGTCGTAGCCTCGCTTAGGCGGAAAAACGTGGCCGCCACCCATCCCCCTCACGAGAAGTTCGACCGATGCGCGGTACACGACCACGCGGGTTCACCGTACTCCCATTTGCACCGTCGTCCATAAAACTGATGGAATCCCGCGATCAGGACACCACCCCACACCGTTCGAACAAACGTTGTGCGTGTGCATCGAAAGATGACGATTAATCCCTGCGCTCGAAGCTAACGTATTCGCGTTCCCCACGTGCCCGGCAGTATTGATTCCCTCTGGTCTGGTCAATGAAATCGAGCCACGCATTTCACGCCACTACCGAACGCGCCTCTTAACCCTCTCGTTTCTATGAGCGTTATGAGAAAACTTTCTTATGGAATAATTTACTCGTGGATTTTATAGATATTTTAAATATCAAAGATCGTTAAAATAATAATTAATCTCGTAGAATTTAATTTGACTTTGGTTCCTCGTGTTAATAGGATTAAACGGGGGATTTAATTTAAATTGGAATATTTCAAAGAAGAAAAACATACGAATGGAATAAAAGTAAAATTAGATTTTATCTAATAAAAAGAGAAAACGCGTGCGCGAATTGCAGAATTTTCTTCAGACGAAAGAAGAATTTGAAACCTTTCCAAGACGAGTTTTCTATCTGTAGCCAACGCAATATTATTAACGTCAATGAATCCCCGTTGTAACCGAAGCCAGTTACAACAGATTTCGAAACCTATTTCCAGGAGAGGTCAACGCATACCCGGAAGTTTCTTACGCAGTTCTTAACGCTGCAACACGATCCTAACCTCAAATACACTCGCCTTAACAGGTAGCCATTTAGATAGAGAATCTCTCTCTCTCTCTCTCTCTCTCTCCACGCGCGATCCAATGTGTACAATACTTTAAAACCCGTCGTACAAATTTCCAATCAACGACTTATAACCACACCGATCGAAAAATTTTCTCCTCTCGACTTTTTATCCATTCACGCGATATTCACGTACAAGGAAGGACGCTCTCTTACGATGGAAGAAGAAGAAGAAGAAGAAGAAAAAAAAGAAGGAATATATCCGCATCGAAGGAACGAACGAAGCTAAATATGCATACACGTGGACACGGATGTAAAGGTCCTTAATGTACTTTCAATGCTCGTAACTGAGGAAAGAGGAGGAAAGACGCGGTTTACCCCGAAGGGCTTCCTAAAGATCAAGACCAAAGATCCAGCTGCAACCGATCGACCGCAGACGCTCTTCTTCTTCCTCTTCCTCTTCTTCTTTATCTTCGTATTTAATTTCTCCCTTCCCTTGGCTTGCACGCGTCACAGTATAAGCGATTCTCATGTAAATGGGACTAGGCAATGAATAATATTTAGTAACGCACGATAAAATAAATATTCATGTTTACGCGCGTGCCTCGTGTTCATCTATTTATACGGGTTTGCGCAGCTTTTCACGGCGCGTCTCGTTGCGTTGTTGTTTGCCGCGTTTGCGCGCAATTATGACAACGCGGATGACAAGACGAGAGGATCGGGATCGGAATACGTGCATTCGGTCCACGCACACACACAAAGGGAGCGTTCGATGTTTCCTATACGCCCCAACTTGTAACAACGATGTTCCCTTTGCACACGTGCACATACGTGCACAACCGCGTTGCGCCCGGATCTATGCTTGCTCAATGTTCATTTGCGTATCGATACGTTTGCGCGTGTACACACGCTACGGATCTATTATCGATCGATGTACGAATAATTTTTCCATTTTCTATTATTATTTATTGGATGTGTGTTACGGGTATGTTTGTGCTTTACGGGTATTGATTGAGAGAGGAATTTTGAGATGGATGTGTACATGTATGCACGTATATATATATATATATATAAAAGATGGAAGATGTATTAAGATAAGTAAGAAAGAAAAGGAAAGTATAAACTTATCGATGGTTTGAATATTGTATACCGATACGCCGTTTTTGTGAAATTTTTATAATTTATGCGAGGGATATAGTTTTTGATTTTTTTTCATTTTTTATATTGTATGTAAATTAGATTTGTAAATTTGTTTCTCTGTGAGAAATGAGCGTGTAATGTATATACGATAAGTTGTTAGGATACGTAGATTCATTCTCTGAACATATATTTATGAATTTTATATGTATATATATATGTATGTACGCGATGGATTTGCATTTACTGATATTTCGTAGATTTTATATTTTAGAGAGGATGTAAATAAGGATCGTTTCAGGTGGATAGACGTGAAAAAAAGATCGAGGTGAATGGCTTAATTGGTTAAAGTTGACGGACAAGATATTGGTTTCAAATTTCTTTCTGGATCAGAGTATCCTTTTTTTCGTTTCTTAAAAGAGAAAAAAAAAAAGAAAAGAAAAGAAAAGAAAAAGTTGTTGGAAGATTAGATTTTTATATACGAATAAATTATTTCTTTTTTTTTTATTCGTTTAGAAGACTGGATATTTTATTATTCAATTAGATAATAAATTTTATTCCATCATTGCATTATATTGCAGGATATAGGATTAAAGTATTGTTGGATTGGACGAATTCTTTGAATTCTTTGAAATTTCATAAGAAAATTAAATTTTGGTTATGGAAAATTAATTAACCATCTTTTACAGAACAGAAAATTTGTAAAATAAAAATTGAAATATTTGCAGATTGATATCATAACGTATTTATAATTAATATATTTTATACAGGAAATGTATAATTTATACCATTTAATTGGCGTTTTTCCCCCCCCCCCCCATTTTATTCCTGAATAAATCATTTATCGTACAGGAACTTATTTATAATACATTCCATGGATTATGGAAAAATTTTAATAACTCGTTTGCTGTAAATCGTCTATTTAATGTATAAACCATTAAGTATGGAAAGTATAAAGTTTTCGATAACAGCGTAAATTTATTAAAGCCGTTACCCTTTGTAGTAAAAACAATACGTATTACAATATACCGCAGCGCAACGTTTTCACCGATATTAATAAATCATTGAATATTCTTTTATTCTGTGCCTTTTCAAAAAGCCAATTGAATTCAAATATCTTCATATTAATTTCCAATACAAATGTATTCTTCCCGCAGAACATAGAACAGAAAAATTATATACGAATCGTCATGATTCCTTCTCAAAAAAAAAAAAAAAAAATATTTCCAACAGGATAAATTTTACAAAGACGTAAAAAATAAATCTTAAAAATCAATCTTTAAAAAATATTTATTTTTTTATATACTCACAGTAAACGATAATTTCGAACAAAAACCTCTCTTCTTTTCCCCTTCTAATTATTTAATCTCTATACGTATTTTTTTCTCTTTATATCCAATCTCCAAGCGGTGAAGGATCGGTTTAAAAAAAAAAAAAAATAAAAATAAAAATAAAATAAAATAAAATAAAAATAATAATAATATTACGCCTTGGCTCGCATTCTCGTATTCCCTTCCACGAAACTTTGCATCTCTGATAACAAAACGGTTAATGATAATGTAATAATTATCATCACTCGAAGGCCGGAAAGACGAGATGCATCTATCCAGAAAGGTATACGCGCTGCCGGGCGTAAATCTTTGGCGCGTGAACCGGAAGGCTTGTATTAATTATTTTGCGGGAAACGGTTCCGTCCCCTCCCTCCCCCTTGGTTACAAACAGGCCTTCGATTTATAGTGAAACGGAGTAAGAGTGTTCCTATGTTTAGAATCTAATTAATGGGGTATATCACGCGCCACGTGAGATATTTGCTCGATCGGGATATATATTCCATTTGTGTGTGTGTGTGTGTGTTTGCGTCACTGCCGCTCGTTTACGACACCCTCGCTCGATCCAAAAACTAAAACTGCCGGTGAAAAATTTGTATCGTATATTTTTGAAAGATGTTAAAAATTTTAAGCAAGTCGAACGAAACTGTCTCGACGAGGTGAAATAAAATCATCGAACAATTATAACTCGTCGAACAAAATTAATACAAATCTGTTAAAAATTACCCAGAAGACTTGAAAAGACATTTTTATATTTTAACATAAGTTTCGGGAAAGATGATAATCTGAGAGACGCGGAGGATGAGGCAAATCCTCCTATCTTGAATAAACAATCCTGTGTTTTATGATTAAAGAGGAGAGAGATTTTTACTTGCATATACATATATATATATATATATATATATATATATAGCGTGTGCAGTGTCACGTATAAAATTCAACTGACTCGAATAATGCAGCTCGTCCGTTATAGTTAAATAAATGACGAATCTGTTGATGAATGGTGTTCGGTAACTGTACAATCTGCTTATCTTCCAATGTCATTTGAAATATAATAA